TGACCCTTTCTACCGCCAGCTGTAAAATGGGATCACTGGAGACTAGTAGGAAGCCATCACACTCATGTTCATATGCAGCTCAAGCTAAGGAGAAGCATGTCTAGCAGTCATGTTAAAGTGCCGCCTTGATTTCTTAGTACAATATGGACACCCAAGTGTAATGTCTAGAGAAGATAGATATCAGGCCATTGCCCATTAGATGCTAAATTATCTTCTCTTGGAGAGAGGTTCATATCATCCAGGGCAGCATCATGAGTGTTTGCCAAATAAGTGGGGAAAGAGGCAATACCTGATGGTGTTTGAAGACTGGGGGAAGAATAGCAGAGGAGAAAAAAGCTATGAGGCCAGGACTCACAGACTGCCCTTATGCTGTATGTTCCCCATTGACTTTAATGGGTGGGTATGGGGCAAGAGCTGTCACAACTGACAATAGCATTTTGGCATGGGCTTGGGGAACAATTTGTTGGCTTCCTTTCCTGAGCTCCTATAACTAACTCCTGCCTCTTCTGCGCAGAACACAATGCACAGGGCCAGCTGTAGGAATGCTGGGGAAGCCAGCAAGATTATTTTTTGTACCTAGCAAATTAACTAAATTATTATGTAAAAGGGTGTGTGTGCATGGGTGGAGGGGAGGAGGGATGGATCTCTGGGACGCTATCCCTTGTATGGACCCTAGCAAAGCTGCTGGGCTCCAGCAATGGAGTACAATAGCAATTTCTCAAATAAACTGAAGATACGAAGCTGTTAACTCTCTATCTGCCATAGGCTTGGGAGTTACTTGCCGATGGCTTTTAGGGTCTTCTTCCCCCTTCAGCTACACCTCTACCTCAATATAAAGCTGTCCTAGGGAGCCAAAAAATCTGACCGTGTTATAGGTGAAACCGCGTTATATCGAACTTGCTTTGATCCACCGGAGTGCGCAGCCCCACCCCCCCGGAGCACTGCTTTACCGTGTTATATCCGAATTCGTGCTATAGCGGGTTGCATTATATCGAGGTAGCAGTGTATTTAGAAACCAGTGCAGAAAACAATAACAATGCAACAGTTACCTAAAACACCCCTCCAATTTCTTTATCTCCAGCTTACAGAGCTAGAGGCGGTTTCTGTAGGAAGTACAATAAAAGAGCATAAATTATATTAATTAACTTAAAAGTTGTGTTTCTTTTCCCATCTTTCATTTCTTAGCTGCCCCCCCCCTTTTTTCCCTTTCCTTCCATTTTTGGCACATTCTCTCTCTCCACACCATTTCTTTCCTTCCCCTTATTTCTTACTACTTTTCTCCCCCTCTCCTTTTTCTCTGCTTTCCCTCTTTCTTTGAAATGCAACAGCGCCCTTATTCTCATCCTCTCTGTCATTTCAACCCAGGTTTTGCTCACCACCATTTTGCTATGGTTTTCCTTTCCAGTTGTTCCAAGTAGTCTGTCTCTTCCCTCCCTGTATTGCATTGTTTCTAAAATCCTCACCCATGTTTCTAGTGCTCTTAAAATAGTTCTTAGTACTTCTATGGCGCTTTACAACCATCAGCCAATTAATTGTCACACCCCTCATGAGCTAGGTAAAGTTATTTATGCACACTGCAAAGCTACCACCAGTTGGTGTGACAGCTTGCGCCGCTGTTTCTGCTCAAGCAGGCCCTCAGACAATAACAGTAAGGTTGCAGAAGGTCAGGGCTAAGGTGAATGGACAGTGCTGTACGTGGAAGCCATCACCATCTGCCAGCACTATGCTTTGCTCTGAACAATCTTCTGAGTCTCATTTTCATGAGCAGGAAGTTTTCTGTGTGATTTACATACGATCTATGACAGGGGTCAGCAAACTTTTTGGCTCAAGGGCCACATCTGGGTATGGAAATAGTATGGTGTGCCATGAATGCTCATGAAATTGGCGGTTGTGGTGCAGGAATGGGTGAGGGCTCCAGCTGGGTTGCGGGCTCTGGGGTTGGGCCAGAAATGAGGTGTTCAGGGTGTGGGAGGGGGATCAGGGCTGGAGCAAGGGGTTGGGGCACAGGAGGAGTTTGGGGGTGCAGGCTCCGGGCTTACCTCAAGAAGCTCCCGGAAGCAGCATGTCTCCCCCTCCGGCTCCTATGCGGAGGCTGCGCGCTGCCTCGTTCGTAGGCACCGCCCCCGCAGCTCCCATTGGCCGCGTTTGCTAGCCAATGGGATCTGTGGGGGCACTGCTTGGGGCAGGGGCAGCATGCGGAGCCCCCTGGCTGCCCCTACACATAGGAACCGGAGGGAGGGACATGCCACTGCTTCTGGGAGTTGCCCGGAGCAAGCCCCCTAACCCGCTCCCCAGCAGGAGCGCGAGGGCTGGATGCGGCCCCCTGGGCCGTAGTTTGCCCACCCCATATCTATGAAAACTTTCCATAGATCGCTAGTGTATTGTAACCCCTATTTTCATATAACTGTGTTGTAGGAACTTTTTCTTGCTTTCTAGTTCCTTGACAATGCAATCATATTCACACGGCGAGAACTGCACTTTGTCCAATTAACTAAGTGCCTTGATAAGAAGTCAACTCTCTCTCCTTAAGTAACATGGGCATGGTGTGCCATGATGTGCCTAGAATACCAACACTGAAAAGCTCAGGGAAATTTTTCAGAAATGTTGGAGATTGTATTTATTTGTTTTAAGTGGCATTTTAACTAGGGATCAGGTTGGTTTTGAAGTAACTGCTCCACCTTCAGATGCTGGAACCATACAACATGGCACAAAAGAGAGGCACGTGAGATAAAAGCAGGTCATGTCTCAGGCTACAGCTTCCCACATAACTCCTCCTCCTTTTTTTTGTTTAGAAGTGTGCTGTGGTGGTATCTTACAAGCGGTAATGGAATGTCTATGAGACACAAAGAAGGGGGAGGAGGGGATGGCTTAGTGGGAAGCCAAAGTTCTACGTTTAAAGCTGCAGCAATGCCGGTTTTTCTGTGCAGAAAGTGGGAGACTGAGGGAGAAATCCTGGTCCCATTGAAGTCACTGGGAGTTTTGCCATTGACTTTAATGAGCCTAAGATTTCACCCTGAGTGTTGTTCACATACAGTAGTATAGATTTCACATCATCATGGAGCCAGCGAAATCTTGTCTGGTCTCCCCACCCTTCATCTCACCAGTTATTGCTACTAGTTTTTGGAAATCCCCATAATAGGATGAAAAAAGAGGGTTCTAAAATATTACTACATGTTTCTAGGAACTCATTTCAGCTCCTGGAAGAAGTAGCTCATCAACCCGTAGAAGAAACACCAAAATCTTGAGCTAACTAGCATGGCAGCATAAGCTGATAAGGGAACATAATTATTTATTTCAGATGCATTCATTACATTTGAATTTTGAACACATCACCATTCCTTTTGGGATCAGGGAGGCTTTTCCTTCATTGCCTAATGGCTTCACTATTCTTTTCAAAAATTGCTCTGTTGCTTCAGGAAAACAAAATAGTTAAGGGGAGTTCCTTCTATTGCTATATCGCTGAAGTACTTGCCATTCCCTCCTGAATACTTATTTCCAGATGCGTCAGCAGGGAATGCTTCGGGAGCGGATTTTCTAAGTTCCCAGTATACAGAAGGTTGGCTAGATTTGGGGAAGAGGAATTACACAAAATAAATTTTTTTGAATATTTTCAATGCAACAACTGCAATTTAAGTGATACCAGGATTAGACAATAGCAGATGTTCTCCAAGCTATCAGCTGGCAATCAGGAGATTTTAACTATGTGCCCAAATAGCTTAGAGTTTTTGCTTTTAACTGTTAGATGTTTAGTAGATCCACTGATGGGTTGAGATAATCAGACTTGATTATCTTCTTTTTCTTATAGCCACTTTTCAGTTTTTAGGTGCAAGAGACCATTGCAAAACCGCATCTCGTTCCTGGGTTGCACTGGATGCTTCACACAGGCAGGCTTTGTCCCTTTTTATTATGGCACACATTCATTTAGAACTGGGTCAAGCTGCTTCACTGGTGCAGCAGAGCATGGCAGATTGTAGAACAACGCAAGTTGAAATTTACCAAGGTTAGGCCATCAGTGGGTTATTAAGTACGTGTCAATGGAAAGCTGTTAACATCTGTTTCGATTCAAAACAGCAGGCAGAACCCGCCCTCCTCCCCCCCACCCCCCAGCACTTATGGCCTGCATATACATTCAATGTTTAAAAAAATTACCCATTCACCTGCAGCCTGCATTAGCCACTGGCCAGTACCACATGCTTAAGAATAAAGTATAAACCCCACCCCCACCCAAACAAGCAAACACACACACAGAGACTGGACACAAAGTGCAGCTATGGTGGTTGCCATTAAAACTTGATATTTGCAAAATATTGCTGCTGTGGAAAATGTAGACATTTTAATGGTAACGGATAGCCTTAATCAAGTTTTCAGTTAAAATTTACAAAAACAGAGCACTGATGGTGCAGGAAAAGACTGCACAACAATAAACATTTCTTAATTGGAACCCTCAAAACTACAGATTAAGATATAATCTCAATTTTTGCACACATAATTGTGTGCTCCGATGAATTGCAGGTGCAAATATTAAGACATTTAACTATTCATTTGTGTCCACACATCATTACTCATCTAACTGCTAAAAGAATACAACACATTTATTTTTTATCCTCATAAATGGAGGTTGGGTTGAGGCCTGGCTGAAAACGAGGCTCAAAGGGGCAGATTTTCAAAGGCTCAAACAAACATTAGGTGCCCAACTTCCACTGACTTTCAGCAGGAGTAAGGTGCCAAAGTGCCATTTACACTTTTAAAATCCACTCCTAAGGGCCAGATTTTCAAAGGTAATTTATTCAAATAGGATTTAGCCACCTAACCTGCTTTCCTTTTTCTAAATCGCACTAAATGTCTATTAGTATATTTAGGCATGTAAATACCTTTCTAAATCTGGCCCTATGTTACTTTTGAAAATGGGGCTTAGGCTACTAAGTCACTTAGGTACCTGGGCAATTTTACTTTCTAATTTCTAAAAGATGTAAAAAGAATGATTTCCATGCAGATTAAAATAATGCACCAAACACTTTCATTTTCTTTATTTTCAATCGATACTGTATGAATACAAAGTTTCTAGAAAGCTACAAAAATTCTACCACTTTATCAAGAAGGCATCAAAATGTGTCACGTTGCAAAGACATGAAAACACCTGCAGTAACCGACACAAAAATAGCATTTTTAGAGTGATGAAATAATTGCACTTAACTGTCATGGATATTAAAGTTATCACACATATGTACCGCAAAAGCTAGAATACATTTTTTTTTACAAAGCACTTTATAAAAAAATTCTCTGCACACAAAACCTATAATTTTCATATTACTATCATACTAAAGATAAAGTCACTTTAAAGCCAACACTTAAAACATTTTTAAACAAAAAAGGTACCAGTACCTACACACAGACAATAACAAATACAAGATTACTGTACTGCCAAGAGGTTTGACTGAAACTCCTTTTGAAAGCTTCTGCAAATATGTTAATAAAAAAAACATTTGAGAACATTCACTTTTATCAGAGTTTTCCCTCCCTGTCTAATCAAGAGGTACTTTATCATCAAAAGGCAGGTTCTACATCAAAAGTTACCAGCAGCAGTACAATATTAAAGTAACCACTGACCATATATGAATATGCTTAAGTCACAAACCCAGTTTATACACATTACACAAATAAACATAAAGTGAGAATTCCATTAAGTCATTTACAAATGTGAACAAATGCACATGGCAAAAAAACCAAAACAGTTTTACATAAAATGTACTGATATTGAAGAATTAAAGGCTATTCAGGTTTTTAATGTTATAAAATTCTTTTGTCTTTCTTTTCAGGCACATATTGTATTTTTTGTCTGCAGTCAAGAGCCTGAAGCGAAGAGGCCCATAAAAAAAACAAAAAACAAACACACACATTTTGTAAGGAGGTAACAGGGACACATCTTTTCTTTGTCAGCTGAGTGCATTTAAGAGTTAATTTACACAGTAAAACTAATCACATAATCTCAGCAAGTTTGACCTGAAAAGTTAGAGACCAAGATTTCCAAAGTATTTTTTGTACTCTGAATTACTTAGCCTCAAGCTTTTCAGGGGGTTAAAAAAAAATCTTATAATGAAAGATAGGGGGAAAAAATCATCCTGAGAAACTGGAATCTACTACCATGTATGTTGAGTGACTGGGTATTACATGTATTAATGTGGGGCATGTTAAATATTACATCAAACATTCCTGGGTCTGAATGATCCAGTAAAACTTGATGGAAAAGCAAGCATGTCTAGGAATTAGAATGGGAAAATAAATAGAAACGAATCAGCTTGTCAAATGTTATATCTGACATCTATTTGTCAGTTACTTGCATTTAATGTTAACAGACACCCTTTCGTTCTTTCATTAAGAGCATAGAAACCAGTGAGTTTGTTGAGTGTGGAGCTATTGCCAAAATGACTGGCTGTAGCTACAGTAGAATGGGAAAGTGGGGAAACAAGCATAAAATGTGTAACTTCTTTAAAATAGTGGTACAGTACCTAAATAAATCATTTTGGAATTCAAGTAAGTAAAACTACATGTTAGTAGTAATTTCTGAACTGCCAAAAATGGTACCATTATTCTTATTTGAACTTCTGTACAATGCGATAGTAAATAATAGGATTAAATTGCCTTCGCAATAAACTATTGTTCATCACAATTGTTATGAAATCTTTCTCCCAGCAGTTATATTTAATAACTGTAAACACATGCTGTACTTTGGGGGCCAAATCCTCTTTACCTTTCCCAGCCTCATTGAGTTCAACAGGGCTATTTGTGTGAGGAAGGTAAATGAGATTTAGACCTTGAAGGAATAAAAAAAAAAGTATTTTAGAGACAGGGAACTTGAATTATCACAATATTTACCATATAGTGTCACAATATTTATATATAAAAAGTTAATCTTAGTTTTCATCAAATATTTAAAAATCACATTAAAATTGTATTCACAACTATATAATCCATTTGCCAGCTTTTGGTTTGCCTGATATTTGTTCTTTTTTTTTTAAATCTTGCTCCTCTTCCTGTCAATTTCACTTCTAGTGTACACTATGGCCCCAATTCACAGAATGTGTCAAAAGCAGACACATTATTTAAAGGAGCTGCACTATGACAGTGCTTGGAAAAAAACAGTTTGGAATGGTGCTGCACGCAGTTTTCCATACAGCACCTTCACCTAACAGTGCTCATGCTTAACATTTTGATGCTAATAAGCACATGTCAAATTACATTTACTCCAATTAATTTTTGTTCTGCACTTTCATCTCAAATTTTATGCATCTGACTTTCAGAACACTTGACTTTGTAAACAAAATAAGTGCAAAATTAGGATACAGAAGAAACCTTCACAGATACTGAAATATTTATCAGAATAGAATAATAAAGTCACATTTATCCACTGTCTGAAATTCGGTCGTTTATATGGACGTCACATTACTCAGATGCAAGACTGGATGAAAAGATGAAAAAGGTGAATCACTGATCATTTTTATATTATAAACAAATCAGTCGCTGGGTTACAATGTTGCAAAACTATGTCAAACAGTTAAATGGCATATAGATTATTTTCCAGCATTATGCAATCTGGTGATTTGCAAAATGACATTAGCATAAATGATGCTCTTTCGTGAATGGAGGCCTGTAGTTTTGACTTATTCCAATAAACCAAAGGCATTATGGTGATCACTTAATATTTTTGGTCTCTCTACAAATAGTCGTTATTATGGCAGCACTTTTCTAAGCTGGAATTTCAAACCAAAGGCACTTTCATGCTAGAGTGCAGAAGAGTCACAAATAGTTAAGTATTTGGTCATGAAATTTAAAAAGGCAGCATTATTAGTACAATTCATTTTTCACAGAAAACTATGAAGTTGTAACCTTTCATTTTGGTATAGACATTTAATTGTGTAATAATGGGACTGACTTATGCTGAAAGTTTAGACCAAGTAGTCAAAGAGCTTCTCTGTGGAGGGGGAACAGATTTTTTTTTAAAACGGAACCAATTAATAAAACAACATATCAAACTGATGTAAAAGGCTAAAGGTATTTCTAATACAACACTAAGGCACTGCATATTGTAATGCTTTGGCAGCTCTGAATTAAAAAGTTCCTAGAAAAAGTAACAGTAATAAGATAAATTCTTCCAGCTTACAAAAGAGCTCACAGTTTACAGGCAGCCTTTTGGACTACACACTCCACGATATACATTTGAAGGACTTAAGGCTTTTAAGAATGAACATGTGCAGGGTTTAGATCATTTACATAAGTGTAAAATAAAGACAATGCAAATCTTTTTCCTAACGTTACAAATGTGAACACCAATAAACACTGTGACTTTTTATACCCTATAGTTACGACATATGTAATGTGCCAGATTGTATAAAAAATCTGTACCTGGTTTTGCAAACTGAATTCTATATTTTATACTCCTCAAAGAATTTGTTATAAAAAAATCCATCAAAATCACAATTCAAAAACCTAAATAAGAGACAACTTTAGAACAAAACAAAAGAAGTAGTTTTTGACTTGTAACACCAAGTGCTTAGAATAAAGAGCTACCGTTAGGCTGTTACAATGCAGTGCTTTTCTTGATGTGATTGTTAGTGTTATAAACGTATTAAGAGACTGTATGACATGGACATCAAATTTTATGCTTCACAGAATACAAACAACTAAAAGATTCATCAGCTCTAATATCCTCAAGTGGATAATATGCCAGCTAGACATCACAGCAATCACCCACCTTTTATAGTTAGACAGATCAGATGTTTTATAGCCTAAGGAATTTCAAACCCCTCCCCCCCAGATGCTGGCCCCTTCCTCTAATGTAAATCCTAACAGTATTAAAGATTAACACAATGAAAGGCAAGCATACAACAACCCACAACTTGCTGCACATTACAAATACTGATTGCTCTTCTAGCCAGTATACTGACTAAGAATCTTCATCTATATTTATGCGGCTATAACTGAGGGCACTTTTTAGAATGACAGTGTCATAAAAATTAGAACTGTAACCAATATATTATACCTGGAGGCAAATTCTAATTACACATAGGCACATGCCTGAAAACTGCAGCTGAGAAAGGAACTGTTGAAACACATTTCTGTGTCTTAATCATGAGTGGAAGGATAGCTCAATGGTTTGAGCATTAGCCTACTAAAGCCAGGGTTGTGAGTTAAATCCTTGAGGGGTTCAATCCTTAAGGGTGCCACTTAAGGATCTGGGGAAAAATCAGTACTTGGTCCTGCTAATGAAGGCAGGGGGCTGGACTCGATGACCTTTCAAAGTCCCTTCCAGCTCTAGGAAATAGGATATCTCCATTAAATCTTAAAAATGTGGTTTTTGGATGTTTGCAGCAGCCATGCATCTTATCTTGTAACCTGTGTTTGATATGTCCTGTTAGGATTTGTGGTTTGCCAAACAGATTGCATTGTTTTAGCCTAGTTATTTCCCATTATAACCCATTTCTCCTCATTTCTGTGCCAATAAGAATCAGAGAACATGGGATACGTGTGTATCCCAGAAAACCATTCACACCCATGACTACATTTTTAATCCTTACTAGCATTAAAATCTCTTCAATTCACTCTATGATAGAATCTTCTCTGAACTACCTACTTTTCAGTTTATTAATCAGAGGGATGAACACTGCACATCTGTATTCTGGATGTGAAAGGCAATCAGACCCTAAGTGGTATTGATGGGTGTGTCCTACATGCCCTGCCTACTAGTACTAAATGCACCATGTCTTGCTGGAGACAGAACTGGGATAATATATGTGCCGGAACATCATGAAGAATGAGAAAAGGAAGAACATAACCCTTCAAATCTGTTTTGCCTGATGATGGTTGTGATTTTCTAGCATCCCTATGACATTAAAGCTGATGAGGCTTTTACTGGCCTACGTATTCTTCTCTCAACCACATTACTTTTTCTAGCTTGCAGTTTACAGATTATTCGCAATGCAGTAATAATGTCAATTGTTTCCCCCTATGTTTGTTAATTTCGGTATTGCAAATTTTTCACTCAACAAAAAATATAGTTGTCCGTATAAAATATAACTGCACATACAAGACTACATAAAATGTAAGTCTAAATTTTCAGTATTTACCTACTTATTGCAAAATGAGCCATCATTTTTTCATTAAATAATCAAATTTCCATATTAGTACAACACAACTTTATATTTTTAAAAATACACTAGATACGTTAAGTATAAGGGATGATGTTCTCTTTCTCTGCAATACCTGTTGGAAAGTTTAATGAATTAGAAGATTAGTTTTAACATTGAGAAAAAAAATACAAAATTTGCCTAATTTTAGGACCTGCTTGTTTCTATCAGGCATTTCTTAAGGCTATATTTATCATTTGGTTTCAAACAGAAAAAATGTTTCATTTTAAAAAATAATTTAGTGAATTACATTCGTCCGCATCTTCCACTCTAATTAGTTACAAAGATAATTCTATAAAGATTATTAACTTTGTGTACTAATTTACAGTTATAGTTAAAGATTCATTTCAATTTCATTTGCATCGTAAAATAAGTATTTTATTTTGGAAAAAACAAAACAAAACCCTAAATAAATTCTTATAAATGCTGTAAGTTTTCCCCATGGCAAATGCTCTGTCTTACATTTTTCTATCACAATTAAAAATAAGCCTCCACAGACAAAGGCATTAGGTTCTTAAATACAGTCTTCCCAAAGAACTGTCGTTTACAAATTTGAAGAACACTTAGTTTTAGAAAGAATTTTTTACAACTGTACCAGAATTTCACAGCTACAATTATAGATGAACACATTAAAAATGACTTCACTAAAACAGGATTTAGAAAAATGTGGGTGAAAGCTGGACCAGAGGCACTGCCACTTAGTGTTGAGGTTTACAGTCTGTGTTTTTGATAAAGAAGTGTTATGAAGTGTGTATATAAATAACTGCTCAGTCCTTTACAAGCCTGTAGATGTGATGTTGTGCTCCATGTTCACTGTTCGAAACTTCAAATACACAAGCCATGCAGAGTAGGGTTTCTTGTGTATCCCTGTTTGTTACAACCTACAGGGGAGAGGGGGAGAGAAAAGGTAGACAGTAGTGTTATAAACTTGGAAAAAAGGATTTGCACTAAAAAAATATTGTAGGCTTGAAAAGAGAAGAAAATATAATTGTAACTTGGTGTTTCTCAAACTTTAGATCTTCACACTGTGCTACTCCTCTCCTTTCTTACATGCTTTGATGAGCACTGAAATAGTTAACAATGATGACATTTAAAGTATCACCACTGGCAACTGAGTTAGCACCCACTGAAATGAACTGGTCACTTTACACCACAGAGCTTGTGTTTCAGGCTCTCTGCAAATTAAGGCAAACATCGCTGCACTGTTTATACCAGGGCCCTGTTTTGAGGGTTTTCTTTGCAATCATAACAGCTAGACACTTACTTAAAAACATATGAAAAAAAGTAAGCTGGAAAACAACTGGGAGGTCTCACCCCAGCTAGCCTTTTGTGTCCTCCCACAGAACCGAGACCCCACTTTTGGGAAACAATGTTCCAGCCTTATGTTTTGAGACTAGATTCTATCACTCTTCCTCAGGTTGAATAGGATCTAACTCCATGAATAGTTCTACTGAGTCAATAGGACCTTGTATAAGTAAGGGTTTCTGAGTCTGGTCCTTAATTTAAAAGTTAATTGACCCCTGTCAAAAACAGAACATATTTTAGACTCAGTCAGTAAAGAATAGTGAATGCTTACCAACAAAATTGTAAAATTTTCCAATACACTGTTCATCATATATTTTTCTGGTAAATGCTTGAGCTTGTGTATGAAGTTGATCATATATTCACACATTGGAGAGCGGTTTATTCTGTACACAAACCGGCCATTCTCAAACCTTGCATATTCCGTCTAAATAGAAAATGAAAAACATTTTGAGAATATTTACCAACAAACATATTTCTACAGTGATCAATAGAGAGAATGCAAAATGTTGGGTTGGTTCTCTTTGTTAGTTTGGAAACAACAACATGTACAAAGTGGAGTTGTTGATTTGAAATGCTAGTCTTATCACACAAGTCTCCTTCCATAGCCTAATTTAGGAAATTATATATTGGGTATGCAATCTTGATTTATTTCCAAGTTTCTAATTTTAAATAACAGAGGATGAGGCCTGTATAAGCTAGCTCTCAAGTGAGTATAAATGCATTGAGAAAGAAACTTCACAGCAAACTTGATCGTCAATGATTTTAAAGCAGTTTAAAGATGACTGGGTACAAAGGAAGCAAGAGGGAGTAATTTTACCCATATCTTAATGTTATATTTTAATTACTGTATGACTCACTAAGCAGTTGTCTGCATCAGAGGAAAAGAGTCAACTGTGATGGAAGGAGGGAGAATAGACTAGTACCTGGCCCAACAGATCCCACTAAGGGGATGGGTCTAGGGTGACCAGACAGCAAGTGGGAGAAATCAGGACAGTGGGTGGGGGGTAATAGGAGCCTATAGAAGAAAAAGACCCAAAAATCGGGACTGTCCCTATAAAATCGGGACATCTGGTCACGCTAGATGGGTCCGTGATTCAGTGCCTTCCTGCCCTTCACCCTGCAACTGTCTATTGTCATGATAAATAGTTCTCAATGGCTGGCTGGACTTCTTGGGCTGCTGACTTCAGCCAGGATTGGGATAGTGGAGGTGATGCCAGAAGTTGTTGTTCTTTGGTGGTCTCCATTTATGGGGACCACAATAGCAAAAATAGGGCCTGCACAGCAGCCATTGCCTCTATAAATGCTTAAAAATTACAGCTTTAAACTGGAAGTCACTGTGCCACAAATGCAATGTAGCTAACAAATGGGGAGGGGACGGGGAATGCTACATTAAACACAAGGTACATCATTGTAACATCACAATACAACCTCCCACCCCCAATACCTAACCAACTAAACTATACAGTGCTATGCCTTAAAAAAAAAAAAAAAAAGACAGCCATTGTACCCCAAAGGTAAAACAATGTTGCAAACTTATTTTTCATCCAAAGGCCAATGGTGTCTGTAGAAAGTGTGCATTTCACCAGGTTAAATGAATGTGGGCATGGAAGAAACCCATCACACTACACATTTCTAACACCCAGAAATCTAGACAGTGGGAGCTGCTTGCCATCTTAATAGGGTTCCAAAGAGGTTACAGGTCTGGCCAAATGTGGGTCTGAATCGTCATGAAAGTGATGCATCCAGTTGAAAATGGGAGAAAACCTATTTCTGCTTCATCGCTCTTTTGCTGGGGAGATGCAGGAATCAGCACTGGCGTCACTTCCAGGCTCCCCAGCTGAAGGTACGTTGCTGTGTTGCCAGTGGAAGGATGGAAAAGATACCCTAAGTCAGTAAGTAATTGGGATTTTACTTTCACTAGTGTCACCACAAACACAGTAATTCAAACTAACCTAAGCACTATCAGGAAGGAAAACATTCCTTCAAGAAAGATTGGAGGAGGGTAGGAAAGTGAGATAAGAGGATTAAGTAAAAGAAAACAGAGTCAATTTTCCATTTTGTACTGCCATTACATCGGCAGAAATGTACTGTATGATATCATGAGTCAGCAGAATCACGCCATCCAGAAGTACATCCTACCTCTACTTTTTCTACTACTTGCTTTCCAAATGAGCAGACTTTGGTGGAACAGGTGATTGTCATGTTTTCTGAGCTCTCATATTGGCTAGTTACTCCATAAAATGCTCCTGTATCATCTTGAATGTTGCAGTTTAAGTCAGCCTGCAGGGAAAAGTAACAGATGTTGAATATTATCTTTGTCATCTAGCAGGGCCACAGTAATGAGCAGTAATTAACTCTTAGCCTACCTCTTTTTCCCTACCAAAAGTGGGGAGGGAAAGAGGCAAGTCTATAAACATAACTGCCATAGAGTTAAAAAGAGAGAAAGAAAAACCCAGGTGTTCTTTTTTAATAAGTAAAAATACATTTCTTTCATAAGTTTAAGTTCAGTGTCAAAGTAAAAACCTTAGGGAAGTGATAATTTCTTCAAACTATAAGCAGCAAAACAATTGCACACCTATCATTAAAAGACCCATTGTTCCTCTTAACTATAGGCCCACTAAGATCTTGTCTACCCTATGCGGGAGATCAATCTAACTCACGCAACTTCAGCTACATGAATAACGTAGCTGAAGTCGACGTACTTAGATCTACTTACCGCGGGGTCCACACTGCTCTATGTCGACAGGAGATGCTCTCCCGTTGACTCCCTTTGCGCTTCTCATTCAGGTGGAGTACAGCTGTGGGAGAACGAGCTGCGGTCGATTTAGCGGGTTTAGTCCCGCTAAATCAACCACCGATGCATCGATCAGCGCACGTCAATCCCTAGTAAGTGTAGACGAGCCCTAATTCTGCCCGTGGATACAGACAATTAATTAACTGAAGTGAATGGGAGTGGCATATGTCATGATGGGCCTCAAGCCTGGGCCTGCAAGGTTTATGGGACCAGGCACACTCCAACCCTCCACCTGGCAGCCTGCTGGCAGTAGCTTACCCGAGACACATGAAGTCCAGCCCCCGTGTGAGCACCTGCCCCTTCAGTCCGATTGGTGGATTCCCAGAGCATCTGACTGTCCCATTGGTCCTACTTAAGCTAGCAGCAGGACCAGGAAGCTGTGTGAACAACTGGACTTTAGCCTGCTCTGAACTGTGTGCTTTGCACTTCCTTCTATCGGCTCCTGCTTCCCCAGCTTGATCTTCTGGCATTCAGACTCAGCTTGGCTCCTGGCATCTGACTTGTGGTTCCTCACCTCTGGTTTGTCCCCTGCTTCTGACCTTCCAGTATCTTGACCCAGCTGACTCTTGACTCCTTTCCCATGAGAGTGGATTCTGGCTCTGATTACTAGGTCTGGCTGCCCACAACTCAGCCATAGCAGCTTGTCTGTACCTCAGTAACCCTGCGGGACCAAGGATGGACCCAGCAGCACATTTACGGCCACCAGAAGCACTGGACTTGCCCAAATGGACCTCTTGCCGCTGGGTGGATGATCAAGCACTGCAGGCCCAAGTTGCACAGTTGACCTTGTACAACCAGCAGGTGCAGGACCAAGTGAGGCAGACCAGCACCGAGAACACTGGCCTGCAAACACAGCCTACAGCAGCTTGCCTGAAAGGGCTGTGATAGCCTTGCTCAAACAGCTCGATGGGAACAGCTGGTGGTTCCAGGGATTCACGAACCAGTGCCGCTGTCTGTTTCTGATAAGACTCCAAATCTATTCCTCTGACTTGGCCAAGGTGGCTTTGTAATCAGCCTGCTGGCAGGAGACCTATTACACTGGGCATCCCCCATGCTAAAAGGCCATAGCCCCATGCTGTCCAACGGGGAAGGCTTTCTCCAATTGACGTCAACTGTCTTCAGTTACCTGCACTGAGCCTGAATGACTGAGGCCACCCTGAGGCAGGAGCAAGGGGCAGTGGCCTCCTATGCAGTGCACTTTTACCACCTCGTGACAGATACAGAGTGGAAAAAGAGTAGGTCACTTTCCCGTCGGAAGTCTACTGACAGCATGGCCAGGGACCAGAGAACATTGCACCCAGACTCAAGAAGGTTCAAGTAGGTGTAGTCACACCTATGGAAGCACCCACTGGGGCAGTGGCTCTCGACCTCTTCAGACTACTGTACCCCATTCAGGAGTCTGATTTGTCTTGTGTACCCCCAAGTTTCACCTCTCTTAAAATCTACTTGCTTACAAAATCAGACATAAAAATACAACAGTGTCACAGCACTATTACTGAAACATTGCTTACTTTCTCATTTTTACCATATAATTATAAAATAAATCAGTGGGAATATAAATATTGTACTTACATTTTAGTGTATAGTACATAGAGCAGTGTAAACAAGTCATTTATGAAATTTTAGTTTGTATTGACTTTGCTAGTGCTGTTTACACAGCCTGTTGTAAAACTAGGCAACTTTCTAGATGACCCCTGGAAGACTTCTCTATACCCCCATGGGTACACGTACCCCTGGTTGAGAACCACTGCACTCAGTGAACTCTGGAACTCCCCCCTCAAGTATCACAACTAGGTTGACGTCTCTGAGAATAACAATGCGGAAAACTTCCACTCACATTAGGACTACGATTACCACACAGAAGATACCATTTGGGCAGATATATGTAATGTCAGAAACCAAACTGTCCGTATGGTGAGAATCTCTCCAACAGAACCTGGTCTGGGGGTTCATCTGCAAATCGACTTCACTGGCCGATGCCCCGGTCCTTTTCGTAAAAAGGAAGGATGGCAGCCTCCACCTCTATTTCAGTTACTAAGGTCTAAATCAGATAATCTGGAACTGTTACCTGCTACCCTGATCCCTGAGTTCTTGGATTGCATGGAGCTGCCCACATATTCACTAAACTGGATCTTTCGGGAACTTACAACCTTGTTTGTATTCACAAGGGGGATGAATGGAAGACTGCCTTTTTGACTTGTTATGGCCACTTTGAATATTTAGTTATGCCATTTGGACTGACTAATGCCCCAGCGATGTTCTAGAGCTTCATTAACAATGTGCTACGAGACCTACTGGACCAGTTTGTAGCAGTGTACTTAGATGATGTACTGATTGTCTCAGATGATCTGGACCAACACACCACTTATATTGGCACAGTCCTGGAGATACTACAACACAGTGGTTTCTATGCTAAACTTGAGAAGTGCACATTTGATCAGACCTGAACTGAGTTCCTGGGGTTTCATCCTGTCCCTGGAAGGAATCAAGATGGATCTGTGTAAGGTCCAGGCTGTTTGTGACTGGGCATCCCCACCCTCTCCGCAACGTGCATGACATACAATGTTTTTTAGGTTCTGCGAACTTCTACCAGATGTGCATTTTCAATTTTTCTGAAAATGTCAAGCCCTTAAATGCCCAACTCCGGGAAAACACCCAGTTCCATTGGTCCCCCAAGGCCGAGCATGCATTCCAGCATGCATTCAAGCAGTTGAAGCTTACCTTCTCCACTGCTCCAGTATTGGCCTACCCAGATGTGACACAAGCTATTGTTGTGGAAGCTGATGACTCTAGTTTGGCAATCATGGCGGTCCTCTCCCAAAGGCCTGGACCCAAGCAAATACTGCACCCCATCACCTACTACTCAAGGAGGCTCAAGCTGGCTAAGTGAAACTATGAGTTCTTGATAAGGAGCTCCCGGCAATTACGACCACCTTCAAAGAGTGGTGACACTATTTGGAAGAGGCCCACCATCTTGTCCAAGTGTTTACCAACCATAAGAACCTGGAATACCTGTGCAGGGCCAGGCCCTAAGCCAATGACATCTGCAGTAGGCCCTATTCTTCTCCCAGATTAACTTTACCTTGACCTACCACCCTGGAACCAGAAATTGCAAGGCCGACACCTCGTCCTGAAAAGACAGTTATCTTTTCCGTAACTGGTGTTTTTCGAGATGTGTTGCTCATGCCCATTCAACTTAGGTGTGTGTGCTCGCCACATGCACCGGTGCCGGAAGTTTTTTTCTCAGCAGCATCTATAGGGGACTGGCTCTGGCGCCCCGTGGAGTGGCACCACATGCCGCGGTATATAGGGCGCTGCCGGCTCCCCCCAGCCTCAGTTCCTTCTTGCCAGAAACTCCAACAGTGGGGAAGGAGGATGGGTTGTGGAATGGACATGAGCAACACATCTCAAAGAACACCAGTTATGGAAAAGGTAACTGTCTTTTCTTCTTTGAGTGCTTGCTCATGTCCATTCAACTTAGGGGACTCCCAAGCAGTACCCCTCGGAGATGGCTAGGAGTTCACGGATGTGTCGATTGCAACACAGCTCTGCCGAACCCAGCGTCATACCTGGCCTGCTGAGTGATAGTATAGTGGGCCATGAACGTGAGCACCGAGGACCACGTCATGGCTCAACAGATGTCCTGGATCGGGAAGTGTGCCAGGAAGGCCGCCAAAGATGCCTGCACTCT